AAAAAAAAAGGGTGATAGGCACTTTAACTTTACACGCTTTCAGTTCGACCCCGTTGAGCTGCGCCACCGCTGTACTTGCGGTGGCGATGAGCGATGACAAGTTTTACGAGAAAAAGTGTGGGAATAATTAAATGATAATTTTCGCATTATGTGTGTCTTTATCTGTCCAGTATTGGGCATATTACCTGGTATGTCTGTGGACTGTGTTCATCAGATGAGTGTATTAATGGACTGGTCTGCTGTATCATGTGTGTCTTTATCTATCCATTATTAGGTTTATTACCTGGTATATCTATAGACTGTGTTCATCAGATGAGTGTATTAATGGACTGGTCTGCTGTATCATGTGCGCCTTTAAGCTTCGTTCCTGTGTTCCAAGTGTTGATGCAGCAGCCAATAGTTCTTGACATCTAAAAGCATTAAAACAAAAGGACAACTAAGCAGAGAGTAATAAAAAGTTGAAGGCATTGTTGATGTAGAGGTCACCTTGATTAAAAAAACAAGGTGGAGAAAAATAACGAGAAAGAGGAGGAGGAGAAGGAAGAGGAGGTGGTGAAGGAGGAGGAGAAGGAGGAGTTGGAGGAAGTGGTGGAGAAGGAAAAAAAACTGGAGGAGGAGGAAAAGAAAAAGGGGAAGATGGTGCAGGAGGTGGTGGAGGAGGAGAAAAAACTGGAGGAGGAGGAAAAGAAGAAGGAGGAGGTGGTGAAGGAGGTGGTGCAGAAGGAGAAAGAGCTGGAGTAGGAGGTGGAGGTGAAGGAGAAGGAAATGGAGAAGATGGAAAAGGAGGAGCAGGAAGAGGTGGAGGAGGTGGAAAGGTAGTAGCCAAATGGGAGGAAGGAGGAGAAGGAGAAAAAGGAAAAGATAAAGGAGAAGGTATACAAAAAGAAGAATACCCAACAAAAGTCCTGCACAACATCACACACACACCTTCCCTGTTCTTTGACTTCTGTGTCAGTCAGTTTTGCTAGTGTATCCATTTCTTTTGAAAAATTGGAAACCTTTAAGAAAATGGGAAAAAATATGTTAAAAATGGAGAAAAGCAAGTGTAAGTACAATTAAGGACAGAATACAATGTAATATAATATTAGGAAGTATATATGGTATATATGGTAGGGGAGGGGACCCTAAGGAGAGGGATTTTTGAAATAATTATTATGTACCTTATGAGATCGATGTCTTGTTAGGCTGTCTATTTCACCAAGAAGCTGTTCACCTTCTGACAGTGCAGCTAGTAATTCCTCTAGAAATTAGATCAATTAATTAAATAAACAATCAGTTTGTCTAACTGGTTCATTCAACTATTTATCTACCAAGTCCAAGAACTCTATTATTACCTATCCATTTGCCATATATACATATACCCAACCACCCATCTATTTCATCAACACCAATCCCTTCGTCTATGTCTGCCATCCACCTATCCTTCTGCCCATCCATTCACCTATCTATCTATCTATC